CGCGGCGGCAGGTTGAGTATCCCCTGAAGGTAGCCATCGTCAGCCCAAACTTTATCAGAGCCCTTGACATGCTCAATCTCATCGTGAAAGTCAGAAAGTATCAGCGACCAACGCGGCAACTTGCCACGGACGTGGTCACGAATTTCCGTGTGTGGGCAAAAAATCTAAATCAAATTGGCATGGTAGCAAAACAGTTTGAGCCCAGTGGAGCGAAGTAATAGGTACTCCAGGTCTTCCGCCGCCTTCACGATAGGGTAACCTTCCTTCTCAGGTATAGTCCAGTGCAGCTGGGCCCCTTTAACCAACCGCCTTTGCAATTATCCAGCACATGAGCTTGATCAGTCAAACGCTTTGACTCACCCCACTCAGCATCTTGCGAAACAATTAGAGACCAACCACGGTCGCTAACGTCTGTGGTGACGCACACCGTCGCCGTCTCCGAAGGAAGCGCTAGTTTTGTCGATGTTGCCACACAATCCAAGAAATCACGATACTGTTGCTCCTCAGCAGGGGTCCACGCTAGCGCAAGGCCTTCTGCGTAGCGTTGCTTCCGGCTGCGATCATCGAACGCAGCATCCAACCTTGACCGCAGCGGAGCTGCATGTTTGGCATACTCAATGAAAGACTCCCGTAACCAATTAGCTCCGCACAGCAACTTTTGCAAGGCTGCTGCGGTCGCAGACAGGGGCAGCGCGCACAATGCAGTCATTCGCCCAGGATCATGACGGACGCCTTCGCCATCAATGCAGCGGCCGCACCATGTGATTTCCTTGGCAAACAGACAGCCCTTCTTAGCATAGCTTGGGACCATACTCCTGAAGACGCGAAAAGAATTTACGAAGCATCGCAATTAATTCCTCCACTGTTTTCGCGAATACGACGATATCATCGACCCAAATCAAAATATTCGCGTAGAGCATGTCACGGGAGACTTCCTGCATCTGATCTGAAAATCAATTGGAGAATTGGTTGCGCCCTGAGGAACACGTGTTGGGGTATACACAGTATCACTAGTAATAAAGCTGAAGTACGCTCGACAGTCTGGATACAACAAGAGCCGCCAAAATCCCTTAAATAGATCGAACGTAGCAAAGAAGCATGCGCCTTTGACCTTCGTAATCACCACCAACAGATTTGGCATAGCCCCGGCTATCGGAATGGTGCGTCGGTTAGTAGGCCTGTAGTCATTCGCACAGCGGTATTCTTCCTTGGGTGCCTTCTTGCGCACTGGGACTGCTGCGCACGCCCAGTGGCTTTGGTTGTTGCGATAGACATGCTTGAACTTCTCCAGCTATTTGCCATACTCAGTAAGAAACTTCGTTTTTGCTGGAGAGTATTGCCGGAGTTTTGACCGATAAGGCACTGCATCCTCGACAACCACCACTTGCAATGGTGTAAGCTTAACTGGTGGGTCTGCCCACAACTTCGTTCTCCACTGGTCAACCCCGGTCATCACCACCTCCATCGCGTGCTGAGGAAATCCGGCATCTTTCGCCGCTTCTAGAAGAGTGTCCAAACAGCCTGCTATCTCCTCGGAATTCGTCAGACCAACAATATCATCGTCCGGTAAGTCATCTCCGTCCGAATCAAGTCCGGATTTGCTTGCTAGTTGCTCCGGCAGCTGATCCACGTCAATTCCCAAGGATTTAAGGGTAACATCGTCAGCTAACAGCTCGTCAGTGTCGCCATCAATAATCACGCAGGTTACGTGCCGTAGACGCACAGGACCAGCAGCCGTAAGCAGCTGCACGTCCACTTCACATTGCTCGTAGCACTGTACAAGTCTACCATCGGCTACCACCACCTCGATAGGAGTAGTAAGGATTACTATGCTTACACCAACGTCCAGCTTTTGAAGCGTATAAACAATCTGACGTGTGATCACGTTGCAATCAGCACCGGTATCCGCTCGGAATGGCACTTCAAGGACGCTGTTCATAATGGCGGCACGCTCCCTTGGCGAGCCCATGGAACGAACAGCCTTTGCTCGCAACCGTTGGTTTTTCATATCATTCATGCGCTGCAATGCAGCTTCCTTGTCGGTCTCGCTAGCTACCGGGTATTCCTTGACTCAATGAGCTCCACGGCACACCAAACATCCATCACGTGGCGGTATACGGGGCTTCCTCAACTCTTTTCGTGCTGGTTTAGTTGAGAGCCGGGTTGCCGACGACCCTTGCTGCTGAATGGCCCGTGGTTTTGAGCTCGAGAGCGTCTTCTTACTGTTCGTATTCCCTCATGGCTTTTCTGTCATCCTCAGCTCATGTGAGAGCAGATGGTAGTGCTGCTGCTTACGCGCGCGCTCAACCAAATCTTCATACAATGCCATATTATCTCTCTAGAGAACCGTCTTAGCAATAGCCAGGCGCTTCATCTCTAGCTTTAGCATGTCCGGTGCCACGTACTTCAGCAACGTCATGCACCGTAGCTTCATCCGCTCTCCGTACGTGGGTTCATTCTCACTCCCACTGCTCAAAATCCCACTTAAGCCATGGTCCTCGACGATCTTGTCGAACAGCACAAAGTAGTCCAAGATACGCGCCTCGGTATCTTCAATTCTCAAGTCCATCTTGAGGCGGTCGCCAAAAAGCTGATCGATATCAGGAATATGACGGCTTTGTAGCGATGAGCAACGTCGTTTAATTGCCAGTCCAAAATCTTCATCGGCTACTGAGTCCGGGTTCTTCTTCAACACCCAACGCGCTAGGTGCTCTAAAATTCGCGGCTCGATAGAATTGCGTATTGGGGTGACTACAGGGTCAAATCGCTCGCCCGTAATGGCGCATCGGTTGCGAACCTTAGCCTCATATTGACGTCGCTACCGCACCCACGTAACTAGTGATGCCTGGTCCCAGGCCATGAGACTTGGCGAGTGAAGTACTTTGAAAACGGCCTGGGGCACTGTCATTTCAACATCGCCATCAGCATCTGCTGACATTTTCATAATGCTAGGCTTCACGCCGTGCAGGTCGACGCACTTTTGCAGCGGTCGCCCTGGCTCTCCTTGTTGCCGCGGCTTCTAGTGCGTCCAGAAAGTATACTTTGTGGTCCAGTCGACAAAAGAAAAGCAAAATGAATTGTGTTGTCTTAGCAGAGCTTCAACTGGAATAGTTTGTCCTCGTGGCAGCTCGCCACGAATTCCTACAGCTTCTAAAACTTGTCTTCTAGAAGCTCACGAATTCCTACAGTTCTAGAGCCTGTCTTCTAGAAGCTTGTGCACCAGGTTGTACTTTACCTTCATCGATATGCAAAGCGACAGAGACGAAAAAGTAGCTACGGACAGTCCACACAGCCAAAGAATACATACAACAACGCTCGAAGCACCATTGTTTCTTACGCAACAGCCAGTGTTATTTCTTCAGCGCAGGTTTGCCAGAATAGCTGAATTGTCTGCATGCAATTACAGAATGGTCATGTACTTTTCTTTGTTTTGTTGTTGCAGAATATTTGCAATTTACAGTTAACAAATTATTGATTGGCTCGGGCGTTGGTCACAATTAACTTAATTTCGAGCAAGACCCCGTTCTGAAAAAGATAACCATTTCAAATTACATTACAGCCTACCCAAAACAATACCCCCTCTATGCCGATCACTTTTTGGATTTCGAATCTCCCGCGCTTTCCCGACCAGACTGGCAGCTTTCATTTTGAAAGCTGGCACCTGGGGGAGATCACAGACAGTGAGCGCCAGGCCGTCTGGGAGACCTTACTGTTTCGCAGCGTGGGAGGAGTGCTCAAACATGGAGAGATCGTTCGGGTTGCAGCGTACTTCCGTGTGGGCCGCCAAGTTGTCTAGCGAATTTGGAGGCGTGGAATCAATTCGATGGGAGATCGAGTAGCAGCCGTGGTCAAGTCAAGGAAGAGCGCATGTGGTAGGAAGAAGGTGGTTCGAGCTGAGCTGTGCGAGAGAATCGCTGCAGTTCCTGTCAATGAGCGCGAAAACCAGCGTCTGCTTAAGCGCGCGTCCAACATGAGCTGCTACCTGGTTCAGCAGCTGATCAAGGAAGGCTAAATACGGCGTGCGCTCGCGCAGACAGACCCGCCCACTACTTACACCCACGCACAAGTTGGCGCGCCTCCGGCACAAGGACAAGCAAGTACTAGCTGGCACTCTCCCTACGTCACTGCCTTGTGACACTCGCCAATGCTAACGCGTACATGCTGCTTCTTGCAGCGAGCAGCCCCCCACCGCCTACCGCTGAAGTTCCAGAAGCCCCACTGAGCGCCCCTTCAGAATGTGGCGATGTAGTTGCCGTCTTAGATCCGTTTTTGTATCTGTAGTTGTACGGCGGAGCAAGAACGCCTGTGCCTTGCTTAGTTTCTCACTGTCTGCTCTCGGTCATAAAGCTAGCTACCGTCTTACCCCGCATATAAGGCATATGTGTTCTAAATAAAATACGGGATTCGCTCGACATCTAGCTTAAACCTCGATTTGACCACCTACCTAATTAGAACACACGTGGCTGAAGCCTACTTAAAACACAAGGCTGAACCAAACATTGAATATTCTTGAGAGCTCCCAACCAACCACCCTTCTGAACAAACTTGTCGGTGCTGCTGTTACTTGGCTTAAATTCTCCTATTTTATAATTTACACAGCCATGAGTGCTGAGCGACGTAGCTATAGTATCCACGAGATACTCGCTGTTCTAGCAGACTATCGGAAAGGCGCAAACCTCTGTAGCCACAACAGAAAGAAAAGACCCGCCTAAACGGCCAAGCCAGATTCCAGGATCCACAAACTTGCTTCTTCAAAGTCAAACAATTTGTTCGTTGTACAACACATAGGCTTTCTAAACGAATATAACACACAAGCAGTGTTGTATTCATTTACAGCACATATGCCTTATATGCGGGGTAAGACGGTAGTCAGCCTCTCACAAATAAATAAACGCTCAAATGAACGAGGCGGAGCGCTGCGCAAAAAACAAACAAATGGTTATCTTTTTCAGAGCGGAGGTAGTATAAAACTCTGCATTTATCAGGCCAAAAGTAGGATTTTATTTCGTTTCCTCAGCATCGAACAGATCTAGAATCTCGTTCTGGATCTCCACGGCCTTCTCCTCGTTTCCACTCGAGCGATAGGCCTCCGCTAGGTTATGGCGCGCCATGATCGTCTCGTTATGCGCAGAGCCGAGCACTTGTTTCCGCACATTCAGCACGTCTTCGTACAGCTTGATAGCCTCGTCGTACTCTCTCGCTTCCTTCTTGGCAAATGCTAGGTTGGTCTTCGCCAGAGCTGTAAGTGAGCTCTTGGGGCCAACCTTGTTCTCCAGTAGCTCCACCGCCTCAACAAGAGCGGCGAACGCTTTTTCCGACTGCTTGTTCTGCCAGTGGATGACGCCCATGTTGCTCATACTGAGCGCGATGTCGGGATGTCCTGGTTCAAGGATGTTGCGGCGGATCTTGAGCGACTCCTCGAAGCAGTCGAGCGCACGGTGAAGCGCACTCACACGCTCCATACCAGCGCTAGAAATGGCAAGCGCACGATACACCAGACCGAGGTTGTAAAGCGTCGTAGCGAAGGACGCATGCTGCTCGCCCACGCTGGCCTTGTACGTCTGAAGCGCGAACTCGTAGGCCTCCACTGCCTCCTCCATCTGGCCCAGGTTCTTGTACATGAGTGCGATGTTGGTGACTGTGCTAGCGTACACTGGGTGGTTCTCTCCGAAGTGCGATTTGACCAAGTCTCGACACTGCAGACCGGCGTCTAGAGCGGCCTGGTAGTCACCAGAGCTGCAAAGTTCAAACAGTCATAATGCACGTTAGAGAGGTCGGTTAACGACGGGTGAGCTATGCATCAATAGCGATTTTGCGCTGCAATTAGTGCGCAATGATATATACTTGTAAGCATCGCGGATCTCGCGCTGCATGGCAGCGATGTCCTGCTCCACCTGTACGTAACTGGTCTGGGGCTTGTTGTGCAACACCTGCACCGTCCGCTTGGTAGGATCCGAGGTGGTAGAGCTCCAGCGTGCAGATACTGTTTTAGAAGTAGCTCGCAAGGCAGAGGACGTCACGCGGCGGCGTAGCGCAGCCGAAGCCGTCAACAGAACGCGGCGCTGCATTGTGATCAGGTAATTTGGTGGTGTCTTTCTGGTTGGCCGCAAGATGCGTCCTGAATTATGTAGAATACGTAACAAACCAAACCTATTAATAGATTTGTAGGATGGCTCTCTGTCAAGAACTCCAAAAGTGACATGTGAGGTTTTCCTACATGCACGCATTCACGAAGAGATACGAAACGTAAATCACACACACACACATTCATCAGCAGACTGGCTATGTAAGATACAACATCGTGCGTGCGGTGCTGCAAGCACCGGGTGCTTACCACGAATCGGTCATTTGACTTCAACCACACAACTTACCGGGCATCTCCATCCAGTCGTTCATTGCAGTCAACCATTCACACTTCACTTCGCATTCAGAGCCGACTCGCCACCATCATTATGTCGGCACCACGTACTCCGGAATTCCACTTTTCGTCGTATTCCGATCATGTCGAAACTCCACTCGAGAACCAAGGCAACGTCCAGAGTGCTGAGAGCGAAGCACGCGAAGAGACGATGGCCTGTTGGTTGTTTGCACTGGTGGGCATCGGGTTCCTCTTCCCGTTCTCAGCGCTAACTCAGCCTGTCGACTACTGGAAAATGCTTTTTCCCGACTATAACATCGAGTTCGCTATCACCTCCGTCTTCATGTACACGAGTCTGGCATTCCTATCGCTCCTCGTCATGTTCTTCGGGAAGCCACAGTACACTGGCCGCATCGTCGGCGGCTTTGTCGGCCAGTTGACTGTGCTGGTCTTTGTGCCTACGTCGTATTATTTTCTGGCATCTAGCTCAGCCGCTATACTTGGTGCCACGGCAGTAGCAGCTATTGCCACCGCTTTCATCGATAGCTGCGCGATTGCTCTCGTGTCGCATTACCCTCAGCGAGTCCAAGAAAGCTTCCAACTAGGCATCGGACTGAGCGCTCTTATCGGCAGTATCTATCGCGACTTGACCAAGCTTGTGTTCCCGACGGACCAACTCCTGGCGTCGTCGCTTATCTACTTTTACTCGGGTGCGCTCACTATTGCAGTATGCATCGGCGCGTACTACAAGGCAATGAAATTGCAGATCACACAGAAGTACCTCTTAACGGAACGAGACAGCAACGTAGAGCTCATTGAGAAGCGGCAATCTCTGGACGATACCGGTCGTGCACCGACCAAATGGTCCGTTCTAAAGAAGGTTTGGCACTTGGAGCTTCTCATCCTGTGCGTGTACTTGGCAAGTCTGTCGGTCTGGCCACCGCTCGTCACGGAAATTAAGACGTACAACTTCCCGTCGCTGCAGGAAAATGGATGGTGGTCGCTTATTCTTCTTACGATTTTCTCGACTTTCGACTGTGTTGGGCGGTTCGTCGTCAACCACCGCCTCGGACTTAAACCGAGCAACGTTTGGATGCCAATCATCGCTCGATTCATCTTCGTTCCGATTATCATCGGTATCGTCAAAGAGTGGTGGCTCCAGAACGACATTTGCTCAGTGTTGTGCGTTCTACTCCTCGGCTTCGGTAATGGCTACTTGGGTGCCTTGACCATCATCTTTGTGAGCGAGAGCGTACAGCCCGACGAACAACAAATCATCGGCCCCATTACTAGCTTCTTCCTGAATCTAGGACTCGTGCTGGGCTCCACCGTTGGCCTTATCCTGGACTCCGTCATATTAGACTAACTGTGAAATTAGCATGGCAAACTTAAAATTTGACAAGCAAAAACCTAATCAACCTCAGTAATTCATAAACTTATTCATATCATTCGCTTCAATAGTTTCCAAATAATAATCACGACAATCAGCCTGAACATGTTCGTGCGGCTGGGACGTCCTTTGCGTGCCGCGGCCTCCAGGCCCACCAACGTGCGGCGTTTCTCCAAGGCCACGCCCAAGCCGCGCCCCACCGTGCGCCCCACTAAGCAGATGGTGGCCACGGAGCTCAAGGAGGTTGGCAAGCTCATGATTAGCGGCTTGGCAGTAACGTCAGCGCTGATCGCTTCAGGCGGCTTCGTTATCGAGACCGTCAAGACGATGAACCCAATGAGCCCGCCAGGTTTCTTGCTGCAAGTCTCGGGACCTGGCGGTGAACCCACGGACATCCACGTGCAGCGTCTCGGTACTGGTGACGTGACAGTTCTTTTCGATGGCGGCGTGGGGGAGACGTCCTTTGATTGGGACAAAGTGGCCGTCGACGTCGCCAAGTTTGCCACTGTCATCAGTATCGACCGTCCTGGACTCGGCTTTTCCAAGCCTGGAGTGCTGCCTAGAACGTCCAGTCAGATCGTTAAGGAGTACAAACAGGTTCTAGAGAAGCTTAACGTTAACGGGAAGGTGGTTCTGGTGGGCCACGGAGCGGGAGGCTACAACATGAGGCAGTTGGCTCAAGAGCTGAAAGAAACGGTACACGGACCGGAGTGTCAAGGGCTAGTCCTTGTGGACGCACTACAGGAAAATCTTCGTCAGGAACTGGAGAGCGTCTCGGAGGTCGTACACAAGTCGCTAGAGGAGATGGACAGCAACGGCGAGATGGTGCTGCGTCTCTCACGTTTTGGTCTTGTCCGACTGATCAACGTCGTGCAGCACTCCAAGATGGCGGAAAAGTATTCGCCCGTCGCGTTGCCGTTTGTCGAGAGTTTTGCTCCTTCACCGGCCCACCGTGAAGGAGCACTATGTGAGAACCAAGCCATTCCCGAGACAGAGCAGCACTTTCGGGACTCTACTGGCTTGACGCCTTTTGATTTCCCGTGTGTTGTGCTCTCGCACGGGAAGACAGGAATGTTCGACACTATGAAGGTGCAGGCGGGTGTGACTCCGAAGACTCTGGCGGACTTGGAGCGTAAGTGGCTGGATGCGCAGACCAAATTGGCCAATACAGTTAGCAAGCGTAGCGTGCATCTTGTGGTTAGCGACGCTGGTCACTGTATTCACCATGAGAAACCGCAAGAAGTTACCAAGGCGGTCCGTGCCTTAGTGGATGAGATCCACGGTGACGTTCACGAGCACCGCGGTCTGATGTCGCTGACAAAGGAATAAACTGTCGCTACAAGTGTAGAACAACGTGTTACGAGGAGATACAGCAAATAGAATCGATTCTTTCAAACAATCCAGCGTTTGTGCCAGCATTTGATCCACCATGAACATCTCTAAATGTCATGGTTAAGCTTGCAAGAAAATGCTGAAAGCCAGTCGTCGATCTTCTCTATCGTGGACAGCCCCCTTCGCCATGAAGACTGCAATCACGACTGTGTTCGTCTTATCGTTGTTGGCATTGACTGAAGCGGGCTATGTGGACCTGTTCAAGGATGATTATTTTAAAAGAATATACGTGCACGAGTCGAGGTCGTCGTCTGCTATACTTTTTAATGCGTGTACGGTGACAGTCTGCACAACTCCACCACACCCGCTAAGTGGCATGATCTACCCGAACATAGTAAAGATGGAGCGGACGCCAGTATACACTTCCACACTGATTAAGCTGCAAGGGCAAGTACGAAGCGTGGTTGATCAAAACGCAGAGCAAGAAGAAGCTCTACTTCCTCGAGAGCTTCCGACTGGATGAAATAAACGACGCGATATCGTCATTCAAGCGGGGGGGGGGGGGGTGCTGGTGTCTTGAGGGTTTGTGCATCGCCCGAAAGCGCCGTCGTCACAAACGCAACGAACAGTAAACGGTAGTACTGCCAGTGATAACAATCCTGTAACATACTTCTACAGTAGACGGAAAAAATCCCGTATTGTGAACGGTATCCACTTTCAAAAATAGCAATGATAAATCGAAATACCAACACGTACTTCCCAGAGAATTTCCAACTAAACAAAATCAACGATGACGTCTCTTCTTTTAAGGTGATCAGTGCTGGAAGAAATGCTGGCCCGTGCTTGGTTTGCGCACTACAATAGAAACAGCCCCGAGTATCCAGACCAAGGTACTAAAAGTAAATAGAAATGGAATGCAGAATCATCTCCGAATACAAGAGTGCAGTTGTACTAGGACTCCTAATAAAGAGAAAACTGTCTTCTTCCCCGGGTTTACGCATTCTTTCCACCATTGATTGGCCCAGGAATCACTCCCAAATTTCGTGTATTGCCATCACTAGGAATTTGTATCATGGCTACTATTTTTTCTGTCGTTGTGATTGCCACACTGTTGGCTGCGGTTGCTCAAGCTGGTTACGTGGACCTCTATCGTGAGGCGGACTTCAAGTTCAAGCTGGCAACGATGAACGATGTGTTCCTGGACGCATGTTACAGTTTTACTTACAGAAGACTGGAAAACGCGAAAACTTCTGCCAGGTGGAACGAGACGCTCGCATAACGTTTAACACAAGAACAAACTATGATGGCGTCGACGGTTTTTGGTATATTATAATAACACGCAGAGCAGGAATGACAAGTTCTTCCCAGAGAATTTCCGTCTGGACGGCATCAACGACGAAGTTTCGTCTTTCATGGTGCTGAACAAAGGGAAAAATGCGGGATCGATGTACATTTGCCCTTTACCTGAGAGTGGTGAAGCCTCGTACACAGCGACCAGTGATGGTAGCTCTGTAAAAGCTAACGATACGATCAGCCTTCAGCCGGAATAAAAAAAACTTTAACCTTTGTAGTTGTTAATCCAAAACACTGGTTTGTTGTTCGAAAAATTGGCTACGACGCACACGCAACGTTGACAGTGACTTATGGAACCTCCTTGCTTTTGCAAAACCGGTAGCCTTGTGACTCAGACTGATACGTGGAAGTGTCACTGGGACTGGTAGCATCATGGAAACCGAGACAGTAAGAGCGCACTGTCACTTCAACATTTCCTTCCTTCTGCAGTAAAGCCTAACAATGTCGTCACACCTCGCTACTACATTTCTACTGATTACCCTGTGGGCGATTGCAGCTATGTCAGCTCAAGCTATTGGCCACGTGGATCTCTATCAAGACGCTTACTTTAAACACAAGGTCGCCAGGGTCAGGAATGTGCAAAGCGACATATGCTACAATCTGGCATGCCTCGTCACGGACAACGTGGTCACGTCCGTGAAATGGAGTGGTCTCCCCGAGACGGGCAAAGCGTTCAAGAGGGAATCGTCCATCATCCTGTTTTACACCGACCGAGACTGTTTCTCGGACTTCATAGCTTGGCCAGTCAACACTCAAAGCCGAGACGATTTGTACTTCCCTGTAAACTTCCGTCTGGATGGGATCAACGATGCCGTCTCTTCTTTTATGGTGGCAGACGAGTGGGTTGTTAAAGGATACAGGAAAGTCTGCAACGAAGCGGGACTTCTGGACAATTCTACTTCTCTGGGCTACATTATCGGTAGCACACAGGATAGCACATGATCAAAAGAACAGATTAGCTGTAAGACACGAAAAGTCGAACGTGCTAACCCGGCATGTTACAGGCGTTGGCTTTCTTCAAATTCCATTCTGCGATTAATCCACAATTCAGACATCAGACTTATTCGGAGGCATTTTTTTTTTAATTTTGAGCTATTTACTTCATAATCAACTGACAGAAAACTGCAACTATTAAAGACTCCGCTACCATTTTTATTAGCATATTTAATGTCGAGTTGAAAAAAAAAGCAGCATGTATGTGGTTTAAGGGATTCCCATTCAATATATCACTTGCCTTGGGCTAGAGCGGAATGCAGAAAAGAAATCTGGCTGACGATGTAATTGACACTGCCGAGTACTTGGTTCCACCCGCACGTAAGCTTAAACATACGTTCGCATCCTGGAGGTGTGTTTAGATGATATTAGAGCACGCTAGCAGGACACTGCAAATTACATGAACAAAGCACTATACCACGACGGCCAGGGGACACTCTCCTTCAGCGTAATGCTGCTGGATTCACTGCCTTCCGTTGGCTGGAGTTCAGAGGTTGCTTCGGCATCAGCAGGAAGGCCGGCCCCTGCGATCAGAAGGAGAGCAGCAAAGAAGGCGAGCTTAGTCATTGGTCCCAGTTGCTTTAGTAGACTCTTGGTCTTGATCAGGAGAGTTGATGAATGAAAAGTTGGACAGACTAATTTCGAGAGGGGGGCATCCATCGATGTCGACATACTGGGTTTGCCAAAAACAATCTGGTCTAATCCGTAGCCTAACGCGACGCCACAAAGCACGCCATCCAAGATCAATGGGCTTCTGATTGCGACTTTGTAATCAGGGAATGTTCTTTTGCTTCCGTTCAGGCAAAACTCAATAATATTGAATGGTTGATATAATACTTGCTGAAGCCTTCCATAAACGATGGTGAATAAATTTGCTGCATTGACCGACTACTTTAAAATGCTGAGCTTGTCTATTTATGTATTTTACTGTGATACACCTGCAGATTTCTAGATTACGGAGGTTCTCGCTTATCTGAACAGCACAATCACTTCTGGTAAAACCCTGTCAAAAGGTAACTATGCCATTGAGAGCGTCTGTTAGTTAAACTTCTTTTTTTTACACTGTATAATTTTTAACAGAAGGCGAATACAAGGCTATTAGCTTAAAATTAAGTGGCGCTTCATGTTATTAGTAAACGTCACGAAACTATCGTACAATTACATATTCTAGGCCGCATAGCACGTCATGAGCTTATAGACGTTGGCACAACTTTAGCGGTCTGGTGCATCCCTGAGCACTCAAAGAGTGAGTAGCGCTCAAGTTCTAAAACCCAGCTTTTGGCGGCAGGATTGAAAGCACGGCATCCACAAGTGCTACCACCTATCATTAGTTTAGCTTACCTGGACGTGCAAGACTGGTTGCACTTTAATTTCGCCTGGCACGCCCTCATTCACTTTTAAGTTTTCATCGCAGCCCTCACCACAATCCACAGCCATTTCCAATGACACCGATGCAGCAAGGCAGTGTGCTGGTTATCACCGTGGTATTCCTCGTCATGGCAGTTAGCGCAGGTTACGTTGATGTATACACAGACGCAGACTACAAGGGCTACGTTGCACGTACCGAGGACGTAAGAGTTGATTACTGCTACGTCTTGTGCGAGGATTTGAACGACACAATTTCTTCTGCAAAGTGGGATGGACTTCCCGAGAAGACACCTACAGGAGATGATGCCATGATATCGTTCTACGTTAACCGTGACTGCAAGAAGCATAATATCTGGTGGCGCACCAAGACCCAGAGCGATGATGATCTGTACTTTTCCTCAAATTTCAAACTCGACAGGATCAACGACCAGATTTCATACTTCATGGTGTGGAGCACCAAGAAGGTTAAAGGGATCGCCACTATTCAGTGCATTCATGAGGAACTGGGCGCGAAAGAGGTACTCGAGGTCGGGAGCTATAGCAACAACACCGTCGGGTCTGTAGAATCCTGAGCTACCTATTGGATTCGTTTTCTGGTAGATAGATGTATTAAAAAAAATCGACTTCGCTTCTTTTTTAACAGCGGTTGCAATTGAAATTCATCACATATAAGAATACCGGTAAACTAATAAGTATTACATTTTAGTACACTGTACTCAGCATATCACTTTTTTTTCCTTTGCCTTGTAGCCTTTAATGGCTCCATTCTAAAAATGCGAGCTGTGGTGACTTCCGTCGAAATGCAAAACTTCAGGACGGAGATAAGAACAACGTTGTTATCTGTAGAGCTTCTGAAAACTGCCTTCGAACAATCCATTTTTTTTAGAATGGAGCCATTAAAAGCTACAAGGCAAAGGAAAAAAAAGTGATATGCTGAGTATTTTTGTATTCCCTCGCGCGAGACAGTAGCTTTTGTCTAGCCCAAACATGTACAATTTGTTTAGCCGACGGAGCAACTAGTCACTGACCTGAAAAGATGTCCTCGGCAGCTACGTGTGGAAGTCAAACAAGAGAGTCTGGGCTGACGTCACATGATTTATTAAGTCCACTATCCATGGTTTGAGCAACAATAGTGGCACATTTCTCTGGCTCAAAATTCGACATACGAAGAGTAGGCGAGTGGTTCGAACAGGTTCTTAGGGGCAGCTATCATCAGTGGTGATAGCTGGTGATTGACCACTTCTCCATTCGCCTCCTGCTTCCAATTGACAACGTCGTGGCAATGCCCACCCTGCTCACTTTACTCCTCATCACTACGATCTTCATTAACGCTGCAACTGCCGAGTTCTCGGCCGAAATTACATTCTACCGGGACATCAACTACCGATACAATCTTGCGCTGTTTGAATTCACCAAGTCGAATCGCTGCTTCAACTTGGCCTGCGGCGACTACAAAAACGCGATTTCTTCCGTGAAGTGGTCAGGACTCCCAACGTCGGCGTCATACGACGGATCCTCCAACGCGAAAGTGGTGTTCTACGTCAGCTCAAACTGCAGTGGTAAGAGCAAGAGTTACTCGACTTCACTGAGTGGTGTCAAATCGTTTGTAGATGAAGGTATAAACGACGCCATCTCCTCTTTCATGGTACTGGAGTCGTCTGAAAGTGTCGAGAATGGGAGCACTAGTCTGTGCTCGCTGTCGAGAGTTTTAAATGTGGTCGCGAACGGAACAGCTGCCGAACAACGTTAAGCACTGCATTTTCTTTCTTTGAGTTAATGCGTATCTAGCACAACAAAAAATAGCATTATAAAATGTATTTCGTTTAACGACAGCATCGAACTTTCGACTTGATCGAACTGATTGTTGTGCAGTTTCTGAACACGATCCGGATGCCGCAAGGTTTGGATCCAGTAGTTGCTTTCGCGCTCACACTTTTGAAACACCCACTTTAGTTTCTTTGCAATGACCAAGGCGCTTCGGATTGTCCTCAACGCGGCCGTCACAGCTCTTCTCATGGCTGGCGCGTGCAGCACTTCGTACACTATCGATGCTACCCGAAGTGATGAATCCACATTAACTTCGTCTTGGACTGGACAGCTGAAGCTGTACAAGGATACAAATTTCCGATCGTTGCTGATTACATTAAAATTTAACACTGCGAATTAATGCTTTAATCTGGCCTGCGGGGATATCGACGACGCCGTTTCGTCAGCCACGTGGAAGGGATTGCCGCTTCAAGCCTACTTTAATGGCGGCACCACATCGCTGCTCATGTTTTACCGAGGACTCGACTGTACGGGTGTCAGCCAAGGCTGGCCGACTTCGGCCGAAAACGCCGCAGATTTCGGTACTGTTGGGATAAACGACGTGGCATCGTCCTTCATGTTCCTCCAGAGTTACACGGGGGTGCACAACGGGATTCAAAGCATCTGCGACTACAAGATAACAGTCAATTCCTAGTTAGCTGTTCGTATTATGCGTTAATCACCATCGCTTTAACGACAACGCGCTTTATTTTTTGCTTAAACATTTACGAATTGTTTTTTTAAGCGAGAGCTACATCACATGTCAGTCAATGACCAAACTGCCCGACCTAGGAGGCAGGCGCGATGACCATGGAGGGAAGTACATCATCCTGAGAGACATATCCGCCGACAACATCTGATCCGGCCCACATGCAAACGTAGGAGGACGCATTGTCGACAAGCTCCGTCACCGCCTTCACCATGAACGCCGAGATTTGGCCCTTGACTTTGTGGGGGTTAAAGTCGCGAATGCCACCAAAATGGGGCAGTATGATAGCTAACTTGTTTCCTCTGCACTCCGAGTCTTCGTAGAAAACAATGTACGCCTTTCCGGCGATACCCGTTGTGGGGAGTCCGCCCCACCTCGCAGATTCCACCATGTTGTCGAGAAACTCGCAGTCGATATTGTAGCATTGATTTGGGTACCGAATATTGACCGAGAGCAGATGATCGTTGTAGTAAGCGCCGGCATAGAGATCCACAGTACCGTTGATCTTGCTCGTAAATCCAGCCGCACTGACCCAACCGATAACGGATGCCAAAGAACAAACGAAGGCGATGAAGATGAAGCACCAGGGCATTGCGCTGGCCGAATCGACGTGTGATTCTGGGTGAGAAAATTTAAAACTGAGAGTAAATCGAATATTCTTCGACTAGGTGCGTGGGCAGTTGATGCAAGGAAAGTAGTTCTCGAAGCACTGATATAGCAGAGGGAGCATCAGTCGATAGCTACAATAAATATAGAATGAAGGCTGCTCAATTCGTTTTACATGTATTCAGAAAATTAAACCGAACAGCAAAGAAACTCGTTTACCGGTTTGTACTCGGCTTTTTTGTCATTGTCAGCTTCAGACACCGAGCCTCCGTCAACGTCGGCGCCCTTCCACCCGCAAACATTTGCGAATCCATGTCGCCGCTTCCTGGACTCTGACCGCACCATGAAGGATGAAATATTGTTTTTTACTTTTGGAAAAACGAACTCTCGGATCCCACCGTTGTATGGAAGCAGGGAGGACGTCTTGCTTCCTTTGCAGTTTGTGCCAGCGTAGAAGCTGATAAACGCTTTCCCCATCCACCCTGTTGTCGGAAGTCCAGACCACCTCGCTGATGCAGTCAAGTTGTCGATGTTGGTGCAGTTGACGTTGTAGCAACGGTTTGGCATGTAGATGTCGATACTGAGAAGCTTGTGCTTGTAATAGGCGCCGGAGTAGAGCTCGATGTTGCCCTCAAAGCTGATGTAGTCCTGAGCACGACCTTCGCAACGTCTTGTAAAGAAAGTTGCTGCGAAGAAGGCGAGAAAAACAAACACTTGAGGCAAACCCATTTTTCAGCTAATAAGAAGGTAGACGAATGACTCTGATCTCAAGGTTGTCAGCTCAAAACGATAGCGTGGATCTGGGATCTTGTCAAGCTGTATAACTTCTGATTTTCAATGCATACAATTCGAAGTTGTTACATATTCTGTACATGACAGGAGTTCGTTCATCCCCGTAAAGTGGATGACGCTTGATAATAAAACACGATTGATGCTGCAAATTGAGCGAGGAATCATCGATTAAAAATATAGAAGAAAAAAAAACTTTCCGTCCTTTGATGCTGCCAGGGTGGTACACTAAACACAATAGAAACAGCTTAAGTGGAATCGCATTCTTCTAAATTTTTCCTAGACAACACTTGGCTACTGCCTCTTTGACCTAACTCAAAATCATGCACGCTTATCGAACGCTGCCGTTTGTGTTACTCTTCTGCTCTGAGTTCCTTGCAAAGTCGACTTCGGCGTGGTCTGGCTTGGTGACATTCTACGAGGACGTAGAGTTCGATGGCGCCAAGTACGAGTGGAATATCACTGAGACGCAGCTCTGCTACAACCTTGCGTGCTTCGATAATAAAGCCTCATCCGTCAAGTGGGAGGGTCTCCCGAAGATTGGCGGCTTCCACGGCAAGTCGCGCATTGCCTTCTTCACCGGACAAGACTGCAGCGGGAAAAGTCGTAACTGGCCTACCGATGGAGTCGTCAACGGTAAGAAGGACAACTATCCGATGGATTTTAGTCTGGATGGTATCAACGACGCAGTTTCGTCGTTCATTATCTGGGAGGACAACAAGAAGCTCACGAACGGCAAAGAAACGTGCTCGTGGAAATAATTGTAATTGCACACCACTAGTTCTTTATAATCGAAGACGATTTTTTTTAATCATGCTCCATTACCTTTAATTAACTTGTTCTCTATTATTTCATTTTACCAAGGCGGTTCGACGCATATAGAAACGCGGATCCACCTATGTTTTCAGCTGAGTTTATCCAGGAAGGTGCAACACCACTCTGGATTTCACCTCCTCGATACGCCTCACCTCCGTAATGTGGACACTTTTCCTGCGTACTATAGCTCCCATCGGAATCCTTTTCGGCAATTCTGTGTCAGCATGGTACGGGGTCGTCACGTTTCACCGAGATTCGAAGTTTAGTGGTGCATACTGCATTTCCCTGGGGCATCACAGTGTGGCAGCGCTGCTACAGTTTAGGCTGCTTCAACGATAAAGCGTCATCGGTAAAGTGGAAAGGTCTACCCACCACAAAGGCCAAGCACGTATTGCATTTTCCCTGACAAGGAGTGCACTGGAGACAGTCGAGATTGGCCGACGGATGAAGTCATTAATGCCAAGATGGGCAACTACCCCATGTACTTCACTTTGGATGGGATCAACGATGCGATCTCGTCGTTCATGGTATATGGGAGACGAGCAAGAAAGACATAACAGGCCAGGATTTGCCGTGTCCCTGGAGTAAATAGCATTCCGTCCTTGATTCCACGTATTAACCCCTTTATTACCGCGAATTCAGGCCACGAACCGCCTTATTTTACGTCGTAACTTACAGCATACAATTATCTCGGAGTTTGTATTAGTCTGTCTTTTCCACTTGTCTAATCATTAAGATGGGACTATAAGTTATACAGAGGTTTCCGATTTTTACGTCGTAACACTGACGACGTACTTCAGCATCGCTGACTAACAAGTACACAGATACAACTTAGCCGATCATGTGATCGGGATCACAATCCACAAACACAGTTATAAACGGAACTACACAGCACAGCAATCATATGAAACTCAACAAAATGCATTAGTAGCATTGCTAAAAACCGTACGGGAGGCTCACTAGCTCTCTTCTTTCTCCTCAGACAAGATTTCTCGACGTGTCTTCTTTCGCACTCCGGCGGCCTTGGGGGCACGGCGCAGAACGACACGCTTACCTAGGTGACTCGGAATTGACGCGCCACATTCGAAGTCGTCGTGCCACACTTGAAAACACGTTGTATCCGTGCCTCTGCGCGCCTTGGGACAGAGGAAGCACTTTGCATCACCCTGCGAGCAGTCTTCACAGTAGTAAGTAGTCTGGTAGCTCTTCTTCTGCTCACCTCGATAGAGGGAGCACACCTTGCAAGAGCGCTGGCGCCGCTTCTGAACGCCCGATACAATCACCCAATCATCAAGCTGCTTGTGTACGTGGGAAGCGTTGCGGCGGCGCTTTGGCGCGCTTGGAGACGGTGATGGCGCTGCTGTTTTGAAGTCTTCGTCCGTGAGCTGCGTGAGCTGCTTGTGCAGCAACTTGTACCAGTCCACGCGCTTCATTGGGGCGACGCCGTCGAGGCGACAGGCCTCCTTGTGTGTGATGTATGCGTTTACAAGCGCTAAGTCAAACAGACCTAAGAATAGACCCTTATAGTACTTTCGGAACCTGAAAGAAGTCTGGACGGAGAACGTTTGAAGGCGGAGTTGATCATGCACATCAACTCCGCCCATCCAGCGCTGGTAATCGGTCACCAGTTTGGGACAGCTGAACGTCGACTGCCCCACCGTCTTCAGGTTTCTCTTGATGGTATCTTCGGCCATTGACACCCCAGTGGCCAGGTAGTGCACAGGCTTGCGGTCCCACCAGTGGCATGCAACCATGGTGGGCACCGCAACCGACCTTGAGTACGTGAATGACCCGCGCTCTACTGTGGTTGGTCGTGTTTTCCTTCGCTCAACGACGTGCTTGTCGAATCCCAGCCTTGACGTCATGATTGTTCCAATCATGTAGACCGACATCGAAAGTAGTTGAATGGCGAGAGCAACGGAGGTGTAGAATCTGTCGACAACAATGACACGAAATCCGGGGTCGTTCTCATCCAACACAGCCTTCAAATTTCGAATTACAGCGGCTGCTCCTGTCTTGTGGTCAAACGCCTGACTTGCACTTTCATGGTTTTGACGCTTCCCTACATATATCTCGAATCTAAAGTCGTAAGTGACAACATAATGCAAATGTCAGACCATCAAGTCATAACTTACGACTTTGCAACATTTATAAAAAAAATACGCACCTGTGGCAGTAAGCAGACACTGCGTCGCACGTCATAAACATCTTGGTGCCATAACGGTGCGGCTTGTCCGGCATAAACATACGGGTACTGTTACGCTTGGACGTTTGAGGAAGTACACCTTCGTCGAAAGAGATGATTGCAGCCACTATCCACGCAGCTAGGAATGTCATTTGAAGTACGTCAACAACAGCTCGCAGTTTCCACAACTTGTCTCTCTTGTCAGCTGTGTCATTGTTGCAGAAATGTAGATCTCGTAGGATAGAAGTACAGCGATTTCGAGAAATGAAATTGCCAAACCGTCCCGCCGAAAGCGCGCCATCATCGGTCATAGCCCAGTGATCTGAAAACGGACGGGTAGGGCTGAGCATATGAGCTACAAGTAGACCCATGACACAAAGAATCTCGCGCGGTACGTAATCAGGTTCGACTCGTATGCGGCGGCGAACATCCCGTAGCGTTTGACCTGGTACGCTGCGTCCTTCACGAACGAGACGTGCACGCTCTTGGCGCGCCTTTTCCTCGAGGTGTGACCTTTTGTATCTGTTTGTCTCGCTCGTGATGAATGTCCACAGGTTCACCGGCATAAAATAGAATAGCAATTCCAATGGAGAATCCTTTTTAGCACGAAGGGCTTCCACAGGCCTAGCCGCTTGATCCTTCATATCTTTGAACGCGCTATTGTCGGTTTCATACTCGGAGGATGCAGGAGTCCACGCCATCGAACGAAGTGTAATCTGGTTCATGTCTTCGATAGATAGAGAACCCCCCAAGCAATCAATAAATGCTGCATCCATAAGAGGCGCCTCTTCTTCGTCAGATGACACGTCGTCACCAATTTGTCTTTGAACAATATCACTATCATCATCTGATCCAAAGCCATCCGACTCCGAGTCCATGCTCTCATACTCGTCTGCATTGTCCTCGTCCTTCATGATGTTCACGTCCTCTTGTAGCAAGCCACGATCTTCTCTCGAGTTTGTTCGCTCATCGTTTCGTCTCGAGTTTGTTGGTGTCACAGGCTCGACAACAGCACCATTTTGACCGGCGCATAGTGACAGCGCTACATCAGGTTCATCACCGCTCATAGCTCCACAAAATATCTCGTCTATGGTGCTTGCTGCAAGCGCAATACTTGTGTCTATCTGTGACGCCCTTGAGCTCTCATCCTCTATGTGCGGACTTGTGGCGCATAGCGGAAGTTCTGCAGGTGTCTCGCTGTCCTCGCTATCGGATCCAAACAATGCTTCAACGGTGTTCGCTGAGAGAGCAACACTCGTGTCTATCTGAGACGGTGTTACCCTCTCACACTCTGCAGGAACTTCTGGCTCACCTTCTTCACTCTCGTCGTCTCTGTCGTCGCCTGCACCTCCCTCGTCAGCGCCAATGATGCCCTGTTCAAACGCATACTTTACTACCGCATGTTCTCCTTCGCATACACAGCACAGAGCACGTATTAGACACACTCACAATAGACTAACCACATCAGACTTACCGACAAACATGTTCACGCCCTCGATGTGTAGCTCCTTTGCAGCGTTCGGTGGGTAGTACGAGTGCAAATTGGACAGCCGCGTTGGCCTCTTTGACGTCCATCCGACACGCACGAGCTGACGCCATAGATGACCAAAATCCACATCTCGCACGTCGATTCCTGAGAGCGCCTCTGCTTGAGCTTTTGACCGCTTGCTTGTTCTGACCGGCATCTTTGCTTGAGCCCGCAAATTCTGTACTGGTGGAGAACATCCACCGTCCACCAAACGTACGGTCCCCAGATAGTGGGACAGTGAATCCACCTACAGCCTTTTTCTCCCCTGTCGCCCACTACCTTTCCAAGCTTATATTTTTTTTGCAGAGAAACAGACTTGATTAAAGTATGTGATCGTCGCATCTGAGCCATTTCCTGTTTATCTTGACAGTTAAGTCGTAACTTACGACTTAAGGTTTTCACTACGTCGTAAGTTACGACGTTGGTAACCAAGGGGTTAAGTAAGTCCCCTTGATGGCACCAGGTTGCTAAATACAGAATCACGTTCTACTTGATTTGTGTGCTGGCAAAAGCTTTACGATGTTCGTTGCTCATAACCACCAACGAACGTCGTCTATAGTCGGCTGCATTCTCGAGCTTCACCGCGATTAAAAACGTTAAGTTACAGATACAAAAACTAACAGCGCTTCTGCTTCTCTTGGTGGTGTTCGTGTCTGTCCGAGCAACCGATATCTGGTTTTACGACGACGACGACTACGACAAACACAAAACGTTCAAGAGGTTTAACTTCGGGACGGCTCAGCGGTGCTACAGCATCGCTGACTGCTTCAACAACAAAGCCTCTTCAGTGTCATAGATCAACGCTCCGAAGGCTGCTTGGCTCGCTTTCTACGACGATGAAGAGTGTCGAGGCACGCAGTACGTGTCACGGTCAACCCCGTCAGGAGAAATGAAGTTTGCTCCTGTCGGACTTAATAACAAGATCTCGTCCATGCAGTGGGAGTACGCTGCGTTTCCTCTGAAGGGGTTCGTGGACATCTGCAACGATGCCGCCATCCTCACACCAGCTAACACTACCGACGCTAGTGACGCCACGGAGATGAACGAAACAATCGATTATTACTAGCACTGTCGTTAAAATACACACAGCGACAACTAAAATACATGATGTCGTCATCACCGGTATTCCTTTCCTTTTCCTTTCTTACAGGTACGACTTCTCTCACTTGTGATTTTGAATTAACCCACGAATATGCAGCGTAAAACACTGGTAAACATGTTCATGCTCGTTTATCTTACCACCGTCAAGGTCGAATGCATGAAGTTGGTGCTCTACAGCACCCGTGGTGTCACCCGCGAATTCAATATTGATGCGGCAGTGCAGCGGTGCTACAACATCTACGACTGCTTCAAAGGACCGAGCGTGTCGGCAACATGGAACGGCGCAAAAAGCCACACGAATGTGGTCTTTTACAGCAACGCGAATTGCCAGGAAGACAAGGCTGTTGGAAAGGGGACTCCGGAAGGTGCTCTTTACTTCTCCGATGCCAAATTTACCCAAACTGTGGCTGCGTTCATGATTTGGGAGAGCGGCCAGTATGCTACTGGTGGCATTGAAGACGCATGCTATCTGGACGAGCATTCTGCGATGAACGCTACCATCATTTTATAGAAAATGAATAAAAGAAGCATCTGGGTTTGGCCACTATGATTCTGTTCCTTTGTATTTCTGACGAAGTCACCCATTTATTTTGGTGATAAGCCATAGGTAGAGACCGTCCACAAATATTTATGTATTTCAAGTACGAACGATAAAGTACAGAGCAGCCGATCCACCACTTTTAAACCCGACATCTGCGGCCTAATGGACAGTTTTATCAAGATCACGACTTGGTTGTTGGTGGTAGCTGTGTCTGTCGTGTCGGCCAAAATGCATATCTGGGTCTACGGTGGAGCATACTATGATGCAGACCGTTGGTCGATGAAGTTCTCGACGACTCAAAAATGCTACACGTTCAGCTCCTGCTTTGACGAGTACGGTGTTGGGGCTGACTGGGAAGACATCGATGGGTCCGCCGTGGTATTTTACGAGAAGGAGCAATGCCAAGGATCGAAGTTCGTCAGTCGCTCAGTCCCCAAGGGGCAAGTGACGTTTTCATTCAGCGAAGGCGCCAAGTCGTTTATGGTTTGGGCTGACGGGATGTATGCGACAAAAGGCATCGAGCTCGAGTGTCTGGAGCGCGCAACGTTGAACGCAACGAATACGAGTGACTCTTCTTCTGCGTTCGACGATGTTACTCAGCCGAGAAGCGACTTCAGTCTAGACAATGCTTAGCTCATACTTTTAGTTGATCAAAATATTAAGAGTGTGCATATATGTTGCTTAAATATCAAGTGCATCTTCTTCTTCCTTGGTGACTGTGTATGACAAAAAGGCCAGGGTATTGCATTCTAACAATTATTTTACTAGCCTGCTATTAATTAATAGGCTCTATGCGCCTATAGATAGTTTATCAGGAGCTTTAGAAATCAAGAAGAACTTCCGAGATCTTATGCTCACGTTATCGATGGGAGCATCAACAGAACAGTATAGGTAACCAATTTTTAATTCTGCGAACATTTAAAGGTGAAGCTCTCCAGTACTTTAGTCTATGGAATTTCGCGAATCAAGCGAAAAAAACATTAAAAAAAACGTTTTTTATTGGTCTAAACCCCGGTCATTTTGAGCAACACATGGTATCTTGGACTGGAAGTTTTTCCACGCTCGTAGACCTCCTCGGGGAGGAGTAAACAGAATTGGGAGAAGGCTTCGACCGCTCTTTAGCTTAGCATCTTATCAACGACGTAAGAGTTGGTTTTCAGCAGCTCAATCGGCGTGAACCGGCACATTATAGCTCGCTTTTAGAGCATCGTGCCCTTTCCCTCTAACTTCAATGAACATGACTAAAACCGTTGGAATCCGAGTACAGTAATCTTCAGAGTGATTGGCTAGATCTCGGTCTCCATGAGATAGATACGCAATAGCTATAGAATGCTGCAGTCCAACTAACAGCTTTTTGTGAGTTTGTTTTTCGACCCCCTTCTGCGTATTTTTTGCCACCTATATTGCTACGGTGAAGCATGATTTAAGAAAAATATCCACCCCGTTAAATGTGACGTTCATACCAGCTAGATTTCGTAATGAACTTCTAGACCGGATATTGCGTTGTCCAATGACACCAGTTCAATTCGGACCTCTATTCATTTATCATAAGCTCTGTTGTGGTGAAGGCATTCGACGGGAAACCTCTCACTTCTTCATTGTCCTCGCAGTAAACGAGCACCAAAATGACATTTTCGAGCACGATCACGTGTCTATCCTGCTTCATCACACTGATCGTGACTCAAGTGGTGACGGCTTGGTCTGGGTCCGTAACTTTCTATTACAACCGCTGGCACGACAAAGCGGGCGGGACCTACACGTACCATATCGACGACTCGCAGCAGTGTATCAACCTCAGCTGCTTCAATGACCGCGCAACGTCACCCGACTGGAGTGACATTGTCAAGTGGGGGGCCTTTGATGGGAAGTCTCGAATCGCCTTCTACACCGGAAAGGACTGCACTGGCACCGTTTCAGATTGGGACATCAAGCACCCGAACGGGTACCCCGGCAACTTCTTTCTGGACGGAATCGATAAGCAAATATCGTCGTTCATGATCTGGCAGTTCGACAAAAAAGCGAAATCGACCTCGCTGCCGTGTCCATGGGACTTCGAGTGCTGCTTGTGACGCATAATTGTCTTCGGCGAGTCGTTCAAATTAACGTTCAGAAAATTGAGCTGATTTCATTCAGCCCAAGATAATTTTGTTGCTGCTTTTGCGGCATCTAGACTTATCGCAGTCTCTTTTTCTCTCATACAGTAAAAATGCTGAAACTCCTGTTAAAGTGCCTTTTAAAGCATTCAAGCATGATACTAACAGTATGATCTCAGACAATTCATTTTCTGCTATTAAATTACGAAGAAGTAATTAACTAATCTATCAATGTCTTACTAGACCCCCAACGACACATCGATGTAGGAATAAACTAAAGCAACTATTAATAAAGATACCAAAAATGCAATATCTTGGTCTTCTTGTCAAACGAAGTCTAGAAATTTGAAGCCTTTCACTTGATTCTTAGGCAAACTCATGACACCCACTTCATCTTTTGGATAGCTACAAGTAAGAGCTAAGCATTGCCTAGACTGGAGTCGCTACTCGGTAGAATAACATCGTCGAACGCAGCAGCAGAAGAGTCACTCGCATTCGTTGCGTTCAGCGTTGCTCGCTCCAGACACTCGAGTTCGATGCCTTTTGTCGCATACATTCCGTCATCCCAAACCATAAACGACTTGGCGCCTTTGCTGAATGAGAACATCGCTTGCCCCTTGGGGACTGAGCGACTGACGAATTTAGATCCTTGGCATTGCTCCTTCTCGTAAAATACCACGGCGGACCCATCGATCCCTTCCCAGTCAGCCCCAACACTGTTCTCGTCAAGGCAGGAACTGAACGTGTAGCATTTTCGAGTCGTCGAGAACTTCATCGACCAGCGGTCTGCACCGTAGTGTGCTCCATCGAAGACCCAGATGTGCATTTTGGCCGACACGACAGACACAGCTACCACCAACAACCAAGTCGTGATCTTGATAAAACTGTCCATTAGGCCGCAGATGTCGGGTTTAAAAGTGGTGAAACCTGCTCTTTATTGTTTTGTTCCTTCGTACTTGAAATCCAGAAATTTTCGTGTATGTACGGCTAGGATGGATTCCAACCATGCGTCTGAATCATATCACATCGCCAGAAACTAAAATTTACGGGTGACTTCATCAGAAATTCAAAGGACGTGAGTAGTACGAGCCCAATATAAAGATTTATTAAGAAATTAAATCTGTGACCCGCAGAAAAAGTAGGCGTTAAAACCATTTTCAAAGAAAGTGCTCTTATACTTTTCATTTTTCTCGTGAATTCTACAAGTTCTTAATTCGTAAAATGTTTTCCACGGAACGTTGAGCAGGTGATATGAAGTGAAAATGATATGCTTTAGACAGATAAGACAGGTACATCGAGTAAATTCAAAGTGCCTCACTGGGTTTACAATGAAATGCCATTTCCCATTACGCGACGTCGCTTTCAGGAAGCGGACAAACTAGTGGCTTGAAATACTTCGCTTGCTCAGAAGTGTAGGAAACTTCCTCGCTCGTCCCTTGTACCCCAGCGCTGGGATCTCCGTCTAATTTCATCACTACTAATAGAATCGGACAACTCAAACTATGAGACTTGACATTTTGTTTTATTTTGTGACGGGGTCACACAGCACCTTGCGCTAGAGGAAGTTATCTTCCGAGAGTATACAAACTCTCAGTGAACGGCAGTTCACAGGTCCCCTCTTTAATTAAAGAGAGCGAAGTGACCTAAATAAGGTAGATTGTAAACTGAGTATATTTATAGGTAGGTTAAGTTTGAGGTTAATACAAACTATCAGTTACCTATAGAAATGCAATGTCATTTAACCAATGGTTGGTTTTGAATGACCTTGGTACCTTGTACCAAATATCCCGGAGTATGACATGTCATACTCCTGAAGTGTGAAGTGTCACACTTCATGTAACCAGGGTACACTTAGTGCTACGTACCCCGTTACATCCTCCCCCACTTAGGTACGGTTTACCGACCAATCAGAATGAAGAGATGTTCGTCACAAACTCTCATTCTCAAAGTCGAAAACCATCGACTCGGCCGCGCGAGCGCGGCGGAGGCTCACTTTACAGTTAGAGCCTCGAGCAGCAACCTGTGCGCTCTTCGTCAAGGTCTCCACTTCGACCGTTAACATGCCTCGTGGCACTGCTAAGAGCGGTGCTAAGACACGCTCCAAGGCTGCAGCCGGTAAGGCGCAGGCCAAGAGCACTAAGCCTCACGGCAAAGGCTCTGCACTTAAGGAGGCTACTCAGGTGGCCTCCGAGGCGATCGGATCCTCGGGTGACGCGGCTGCGGACAAGCGCGCAAGCAGGCGCCGCAGTCCGTCGCCCTCGTCTTCAGACAATCGTCCGAACCCTCGGTTCGTAGAACGTGAGTTCAACTCGGGCAGTGAGGACGATGCCGAGTCCGATAGCACTCATGATGCTCCTGCGGGCTCTGTGGGAGGGCACAGCCCAGTGCCCAGTGAGCACAAAGAAGACAGCGTGCAGTCGTCCGCTAGTGATCACGGTGATCACAGTCCCAGGACCTCTGTGCGCTCTGAGAGTCCGGCCGTTAAGGCTAAGGGCACTCCCAAAGCCGGTGGCGATGAGGAAGGGAGTCCTCTCAAACGTCTCTCGCTTGCCGAGGGTCTTGCGCGCGCTAAGGCCTCTAAAGCCGAAGGCGCCAAGCCCTCAAAGAAGCGTACCGCCTCTAAGTCTCCACTCCGCGAGGAGAAGGAGACTCGACGCTCCTATCAGAGTCTCTTCGGCTCCTCGGATGAAGAGGAGGAGAAGGAGGAAGAAGAGGAAGAGGAGGGTGCCATTGTTGAGCCCCGGGAGGTCTCGAATGACCTCGACCAGCAGCAGGAGGATTTCCAAGCTGCCCAGCGTGTGCGTGGGGGTTCGGTGGCGGCACCCGTCAGCCAGGGAGCTGCCATCAACTCAAGAGGGTATTGGCCTCCCGAGGAGAGCTCTGGGGCCGACCTCTTCTTAGAGCTTCTCGTCGCTCCTCGTGGCCTTGTGGGCGGCCACACTTCTAGGGGCATCTATGAACGAGCCCTTGTTCAGAAAGAACAGTTGTTCGTCGACAACGTGGAGGCTGCTCGGTGTGTGCTTCTCGCGCCACACCGCATTCCCCTTAAGGACTTCACGACTTGTCGTAAGAAGCCCGAGACCCAAGGTGGTCTCTATCCTGTTTGGGGATACCCCTGGGTTATGCCCGAGAACTGTCCCACATGGAGTTCTTGTGAGGACATGTTCTGGGCGTGGGTGGAGTCTCTCAACTACTCACCCTGGGAGTTACGGGAACTCCATGAAGATCAGCTGATGTCCCACATCCTGGACCAGCGTGATCTTCGTGTGAGGTTTGCCCACTTGATCAGCAAGCGTATGCTGCCAAGGGACATCCTGAAGCGCGCGGCTTCTAGCGCTCACGATGAGCGCGGGTACGGTATGTATTCATCATCCGTACCCCGTTCGGGCAAGAAGCCCCGGACTACTTATGAAGCTGCCGCCGCTTCTGTTCCCAGATTGCGACAGCCTTCGGGCAGTCAATCAGGAGCCGTTCAATCGGCTCCCACGAGTTCTCGGAGTGGGCATAACCCCTCCACTTCACGAGGAGCTGTCGCTTCCCGCGACACCGTTGCTCCTGGAGGATCCGCTCCACGTGGAAGTGGACTTCTCCATTCCGGTCAAGCAGGGGCGGAGGTGCCCTCGTACGAGTACGAGTACTCGGCGCCTCCCGAGAGCCACTCTCGTTCGAGTGCTCCGACTGCGGGTCCGACACGGGACCCTGAGGTTGACCGCCTCAGCCAACGTGTCCTCGCGCTTGAGATTGCACTTGGCCTTGGGACTGGCGGTAATGCTGCCGCCCAGGCCGGGAATCAGGGCGAGCTCGCTCGTCTTGCGGGTCGCCTGGACCTGGTGGAGCGAGAGGTCGCGAGCCTGCACCTGCGGGTGGACCGCCGGGCCTCTTCGTCCGATCTGGACGAGGCCTTTCGCATGATCCGACGGATCGAGGCTTTGTTGCCACGTCCGGAGCCGCCTGCGGCACACTCCCAGACGTACGCGTATGGTGCGTACCCGGCGTACTCAGCGTACTCGGCGTATGGCGCCGGGGTCCGTTCGTATGGAGCCCCTCCGGCGTACGGTCTTGACCGCAGCCTTGCCGTCCCGACCGAGGCTTGGGTGCCTGCTCCGACGCCCTCGTCGACGACTGTGACCGGCCCTCGCTTCGAGGAGCTGGGTCAAGGGGGGTCTGCGAGTCAGCAACCCCCTGCGGGTCAAAGTACCGCTTAAGACGTCCGACATAGAACGTCGGGTGCGTCGTCATTGACTTTGGAAGGTCGATGGTGTACGACGCACCATGTCTGGCCAGGACTGCAAAAGGTCCGATGAAGCGGTGCTTCAGCTTGTTGCTGCCGACAGAGCTAACAGTGTCTAGAGGTAGGTTCCTCGTGTCTAGTAACACTAAGTCACCAATCTCAAATATACTTAAGTTTCCTCTTCCTTGTTTGTCCGAGTACTCCTTTTGTTTATCTTGGGCCGCTGCCATGGCATCGCGGACCCTGCTGACAATGTTCAGCTTGGTATCCATAAAGGATTCCACCTGTTTCCGCAGCGAAACTGGCCTCACATCCGAGACCTGGGAGGAAAGGGCTTTCCGAGCCTCTCCCCCACTTAGAATAGAGGAGTCAGTGTTTCCTCGAAGAGTGAGAGGCACTCTGGGGTGGCGGAAGCCGTTCAAGTAGAACGGCGTGAACCCCGTGGACGCGTGCACCGCGTTGTTGAGCGCAAACTCAACAACTGGAAGCTGCGTCGACCACGTACGTGGCGCTGCCGCGCACACACTGCGCAGAGTGTCCTCGAGCACTCGATTGACGCGCTCTGTTTGGCCGTCTGTCTGCGGATGATCCGCAGTGGACATCTGCAGACGAGTTCCCAGTAAAGGGAACAGCGTTTCCAAAACGCAGCAGTGAACCGCGGGTCTCGGTCCGAGACAATCGTCTCCGGGAGACCGTGATAGCGGAACACGCCATCGACGAACAACCTTGCGGTTTGTTCGCCCGT